TGGGGGTTTTTTAAGAATAGGTTAGATGAACACCTTGCTGGGGTCGTTTAACCCCAGTACTATTTCCTGCCATGGCAGGGGGTCGGACTAGATGATCTTCTCAGGTCCCTTCTGACGCTAGAAACTATGAAACCTTTTTTCCTGACGGGCCAGCTAGGCATTGCCGAGGCTAGATCTGGCTGGTGGTCCTGATCCAGCACCTGGGGCAGGCATGACAGGCACCACCCTGCCATGCATAGGGGGGTACCCAAGCCCCTCAGGGAAAGGGGATGTAACCTGGCCCCATGGGGGTTGGTAGAGAGGGCATGGCCTCACCCCAGTCTACCTTTTGGGAGCGGGGGGATGATGTGTGATTGGGCACAGCTCGGGGCCGCAATTGGGCACAACTCAGGGGTTGGGGAGGAGATATAACCCAGCCCTGTGGGGTGAAGGGGTTGTGGCCCAGCCCCGTGAGGCATGGCCCGGCTTCAATCTAACCCTGTGGGTGAGGCAAGGTGGCATGGCCCAGCCTTGCTCCAGATACAGGGGTGTGGAGTGTGACCAAGTCTGACCAGCCGCCTGGGATTGGGAATCTGGCAAGAGGACAGGGTGGCAGTATTAATTGTCACTGCTTCCCCGCCACCTGATTTCCAAAATGTTGGGGAGCCCTGCGGGCCAGATGTGTTGGCTCTGAGGGCCACATCTGGCCTGCAGGCCAGAGGTTGAGCTTCCCTGCTGTAGCCCATTGTTGGCTGCAGCTGTTGAATATGACAGTGTAGTTTCCCTGTGCCACACGAGTAATATCCAGGCGCACTTGACCTGTTTTTTTTTAAACATAATTTTAATGTCCAAGGAAGCAAGTAAAACAAGAATGATCATTTCAAAAGTCATGGAAGCTACCCTGACGTGCTGCTCAGAGAAGAGCCCTTCCTTGCCACTGCACTCTCCTGGGAAAGCTTCACTGCAGTAGTAGTAGTTACTAGTAATTAAACCTAGAACTAGACATCCTTTAGCCACCGTGGTCTTCTCATTCTTGGAGGGGGTGGGGGAACAAGCAGGCTCTCTTACCTAGAAAAAATTGCACAGCAACCTTACACACTTTTGGCTCCTCAGGCCTGAGAACCCCAGTTTCCGTTGGAGGACTGAAAGGGAAATATACTGCGCTCACCTGGTTGTTAATGTGTTAGGTTCATTAAAACAAATGAGCATCCTGTCCTCTTGTCTGTGTTCCCGTGAAGCTCAGCTTCTGATTTCAGTGTCTCCTCACAGTACCGTCACCCTGGGATTCTCTCTTCCTGTGGCTGGGATGTATAATAACCAGCACTCCGGGCCCTCTCCGTTTCAAAAGAGTGCTCGGAAGGAAGGGATTTTTCATTCTTGATTACCAGTTCTGTGCTTCTCCCTAAGCCACAAAATACCCGCCAGAGGAGCATTCCATTGAAACTATTCTCTGTGGCCAGTAATTAAAAATCAACTCTCCTGCTTGGAAGGGAGAAATATAGAGATCAAGTATGCATTCTCATGAGGCACAAGCATTATAATGAAAATTTGCAAGAAGTCCTATTTGCTGATCAGTAATGGTGCCTGAAGTCTCTGTTAAAGTAAAATGACATGGAATTTGCAGATACTAAAAATAGCAATGCATCACCATTAGTTTGATGTTGCATTTTGTTCTTGTCCTAATACACGGTAAAATGGCCTGTAATTTGCATTGTAAATTGCTGTGCATGTTTCTTTGAAGATGAGAACTTCCGTGTGTGTCTGCGGTAGCATTTGTATACTCCAGAATAGCACATCAACCCAATGCTCTGCTATTACAAGAAAAAAAATCATGGAAAATGGACACGTAAATGCATTCTTTTCCCCCCCACATCTTTCTGGCCATCTAGCTTATGTCAGGGAGGCGGTGCAAATCTTGACAGACTTGATCTGCCATTAAAATTAATTCCTCACACCATAGCATGACCTTTTACATATATTTTTGAAAATATAATGGTGTACATATGTGGCTATAAACAGAGATTCAAAAGATGCATGTTTAGCAACTCTGTCACAGGTTCAGTGTGATTTACTTTCTCTTTGCCTCCATGTGCTGTGCATAATAATACTTCCTTATTTCCCACCCTTTGCCAGTCTTGTCTATTTAAGCTGTAATCTCTTTAGAGAGGCATTTTATTATTGTGCTTGTATAGCACCTAACACTGTGGCCATGAACTCAGTAGGGGACAGAAGACTGTACTAGAATATAAATAATCTGTAATGCATAAATAAAATTCAGATGTTACTCACCTCCCAAGTGTTCTGTCTAGTGTAAATTTATCTTACTGTAACCTCATTGGGTCAGAAAACTGTCTTTTATCTTATCCAGATCCTAGTTCATCACACTTACAGAATAAAAATAATACAGTTCAGATTAGTCTTATATCAGAAGGAGAGGTTTTGAAGGACTGCTGACCTTGACACTGGTACTGATTTAAAACCTAGACACACTGCCTTTGTGGAGTGGATATAGCATGGATTGGTATTTTGATCTGAATTCCTTTGGCCTGCCTGGCATAGTGGGGCCAAAAGAACTAAAATGGTCAAAATTATCCAGGGATGGGTTTGGATGCTGAGCCTGTGACTTCATTTATACCATGCCCTCCTCCCCACCTCCTCCATCTCCTCTCTGTCCCTCTCCCCTCCCCCCACTGCCCCATGCCCAAATTTCCAGCTAGTTAATGGCCTTGGTGCACTGGATCCTTTGACCTGCATTATACAGCATACAAAAGCCAAACACAGGATGACAAACTGTGGAGTAATAAAATGTCTTTGTTCACACTTGCCATGTGAATATGGGGTAATGGCAAGATCCTTTTCATCCCTAGACCTGAAAGTGTTTTGTACTGGGGAGATAAGTATGCTTGTCCTCTTCATCCATGAGGAGGATATATGATTTCCACCAGCAAGTTAGGGCTCTAGGCTCACGTGTACCACTGCTTCCTGACTTCTGTTAAAAAGGGCACTGTTAAGTGAGTGGCTATGTGGGCACAAGGAAGGGGTTAATATTAAAAACTGGCTTAACTGAATTGATGCAGAATTTGCAGTGTATGCTGCTCAGGAGCATAATATTATGCACACCTTCCTGTTTGAAACCTAGATGCAATTTATGGCCTTTTCCTATGCTGTGTAAACTTACTTGCTTCTGTTTCTCAAATTTCCTGAATGCTTTTAAGCTTCCCTTTGCCTGCATCCCCATGCTGCAGTGGATTTTGGACTGTCTATAACACCCAAGTTTGAAAGCAAACAATTTTTTTCTTTTATAAAGTAATACTTTGATATTTGTTCAATTCATGCCCCCTCCCCATCCTAGGTGGTGCGTGCTGTAAGGCAGACCATATCATTACCTTGAACTATGTCTTCATTTTCTGTTACATGAAGTGACATCTCTGAATTGTTTATGTTCTAGTATATGGGAATCTTCCTATGCCAGGATGCAATAGAAACATCATTTTTCCTCTACCAGGAGCAGATGTCTTCTCTGTAATACTAGCAATAACACTGCTGCTTCCTGTTGCCTGGAGCTCTGCACTGCTGAGAGCATCTGCGACAAAGAGAGGACATGTTTCAGTACTGCATACTATCACTACTCAGGAACTTCCTTTCCCAATTGCACTCTCCCTGGGATGGTGACGTCAACTGGGAAATGGAAGAGGATGTTACTTTAAAAAGAAAACTTCTATTTATGCTAGATGTAGCTGAAGAATTCTCTTGAAATTTGTATTCACCAGCAGCTTGGCTTTGACCTGCGCTTTCTGTGTTGCACTTGCACCACCCAAAATGGCAAGTGAAACTTGTAGCACAAAGCCGATGGGGAGAAATATGTTGAAACTCCAAGTGAACCAAACCTGCCCATTTATGTACTTCTTAAAGTCTGACTCCATCTCTTTGGGGTATGCCTTTGGCACAGTCCTTTGAACAGTTGTTATTACATTCTCGTTAACTGTAGGTCACTATCAAATCCCAAGAAATTTCTGTTGATAAACTTTCAAGCTACCATTCAGACCACAGGAAGAGCAGAAAGAAAGAATACATACTTAGGGACTTATTCTGTGTTCATTATTCTTTACACCAGCAGAATTCCTTAAAGTCAATGGAAGTTTTGTCTGAATAAGAAGTATTTTGCATGAATAGCACCCTCATTGAGACATTGTTACTGAGTCAGAAATTTAGATGAATGTTGTGGCTAGCAGCTTAATCTACACTACATGTTTTTTCACACCAATAGAGGGAGTGCAAATCGCTTCTGACAATAGTCTGATAGTGGAGTGGTGGGAGACTTTTTGATTTGAGAGCTGGTTGCTGAAGGGGAAAGTGTAGTTTCCTTTATTGGATTTCAAAACTTCATCTCATTGTGGAAATGAATGGATAGATTATTTTAATGGACATCATTGTAAAATAAAACCTGCCTTAAAACTAGAAACTCATTTTATCAGAAAGAATAAGTTTTGGTGCACAGCTACATACGTTACAAATGTGATTTTCATTTTAAAACATAATTGGCATATTGGATAGAGAGAGAGTGAAAATAAGGCAGTTTTCATAAATGTGTCAGATCATTCTACATTTGTATTTATGTGAAAGATTTAAACTCTTACTCCACCTGCCTTGGTGGTTGAACACTGGGGTGTTTAAAATTATTCACCACTCAGTAAGAACTTTGCAATGTATGTTCAAAAGAAAATGATCACACAAGTTCTCTGTTTATTGGCCACTGTCTGTTCATTATCCATTAATCTTATTTGTGATTTTCAGCTGTTGGGGAATTGTACTCAGATTATTTTAATGTGCTATACATGATTATTTCCTTAAATTAATGCAAGCTTTCAAATCTTTCATTGTTTCAAGGAGTCCTGCTATGTTATAGGTTGTGAATGTTGTTGTCTTCTTGTAGGTTATTGAAGGAAAGCTGGCTCCTTTCTTGGGGAAGGTTATCAAGTTTGCTACTTCTCATGTGTACAACTGCAGCCTTTGTAGCCAGAAGGGCTTTATCTGTGAGATTTGCAACAACGGGGAGATCCTTTACCCCTTTGAGGATATGTCCACAAGCAGGTACAGTATATTGCTGTTTATAGGTTTTAGTTATGCATTTTATCCTCTTAAATTCAGGTCAAATGACATTCCTTTCCAACAGCAGGGGTAGAAGGCAGGGGAACAAAGGGATGGAGGGCACTGGTAGGGTGGGCAGGAGGAGTATGTTCCTGAGATGGTGACACATGAAGATAAATGGAGAGGGCCACTTCCCCATTTGACTATATTAAAAAAGCCACAGACCTACGTCAGGCATTTTTTAAAGCCTTGTAGGTCCTGTCACCCATGTTCCAAAAGATGAAAGCCATCAGGGCTGCCTGCCAACATGAGCACATGAAGGCCATCCAAATGAGCACTTCTGAGTTTGCACAAGGCCCAGAACCAAAGGTGCTTTCTGTATGACTGGGTCTGACTTCACTCTGATTTCACTGTTCCTGCAATATATTGTACCTTCAATATTAGATATGACTGATAATCTACTGTGTGTAGAGGCATGTATGTATGACATAATTCTGACTTTTACACACTTACTTTAGATGCATGCAAAGCTGTTCCTTACTGGAATGCAGCAGCTATTTATCAATTCATTAAGTAAGGTTAAGGACAGGAAGTGAGGAAGAACAGTGTGTCCAGTTAAAACAGAAGAATGCAGAATGCAATAACCCAAAGTGAAATTGGACCAGGAGACTGGAGCAGTGTTCCTACTCCTGCCCCACCCTCTCCCCACTGATAACCACAGAAGATAAGGACTCTGGGTTTTTTTACCTACAAGAAAGAAAGCGCCTCCAGCAGCCATCTTTTACACGTGTGTGCACATACCTATACACAATCTGGCATTTTCAGTTAGGTTGTCATTTTAATTTGTACTGAGAATAAAGTAGCAGGATTGAAGCCAAGAAAGGAAGGAGAACCTACTCCAGAGGTGATCTGGATCTGCTTGCTAAATATAAGAATCTGAGGCTCTTGAGCTGACAAAGATTTCTGTGCCAGGAGTGGCCAAGGCCAGCCTTTAGGGGATCTCAAGTCTGACATGTCTTTCAAAAACTATTTGCACATTCCTTCTCTGACTTCAGATTCCAAGAACTGCAGAGACAAAACACTGGACATAAATTAAACAAGGTGTACAGTTGAGTTCTATAAATGGTGTGCAAGAAAGAAGACATAGGAAAGGGAAAGTCTAGGATGACTATACAAGACCTTTTAAGTTATCCCAAAAAGCCTAACGAGTACAAGTAAAATATTTGGATAGCAATGCTGAGCTGAAGTATGTGCTGGATTTGCGTATTAAATTTTTGGTTGACCACAAAAGTGTTGGGGGATATATTATCCCTAACCTGCCAATTGAAATAAGAGACTATGCACTCTACAGTAGTTTTTATTAAAACCTTCCTGAAACATGAAGTGTTTGCCACTGGTCTATTGATGATCACATGGAAATGCTTCTCTTCTATTTGTGCACAAATCAGAGGTCAAGAATTATTTTTGTTTCAAGTTCCACAATGCAACTAATGCAAAATAATTGCCGATACTAGGCCAAAGGAAGCTTTCTTCTATATCATTTTTAATTAGTCACAGGGAAAGGGCAATGACAGTTCTCTCCTTTTTATTTTTCACTGTTCAGCCCTTTTGCTAGCATCGTTGCTAAATCTTGCTTTTTTCCCTGGGCTCAGCCTCTCCATTTCCCTTCCTCATTAGTTGCCTGATTGCATGACCAACAGTCCCTTTTCCCCTATCCAGTCTGGAGCAGAGCGGCAATGTGAAACTAATTAGACCATTTAATTTCATACTTCTACCCTACTCTTCAAGCAAGCAGAGAGAAATGATAGAACAAGAGAATTTGAGTTAGCCATTTTGGTTCCAGCAGTACATATAGCCAATAAGCCCAGGGGAAAGAGTTCAAGGTTTTTTTGTGTCTCTCTCTCTCTGGTACATATGCCAGGGATCCTGGTTTTCTCTGACTTAAAAAATCCTCAATTTTCAGATTAAAAAAAGTAACCCCAAATCCACATTTTTCTGTGATTAAAATAAAACACCACTAATGTTTTGTGTGTGTGCATGTAGTGGTGTTTTGTTTTAATCACGGAAAAATGTGGATTTGGGGTTACTTTTTTAAACCTGAAAATTGGGAATTTTTTAAAATCTGAGAAAGCCAGGACCCCTTCACATGATGTTGATCTCTGACCCAGCCACTCAGATACCCCAGGGATAGACTTAATATGAGGTGCTATGTGCTATATGCTATCTATATATAGCAACATATCTAAGGTACATTTAAGTGCACAGCAACAGATGATTTAGAAGGCATGTAGAATAGAA